CTTTTTTAGGTTTATAGGAAATTGTTGGTTAGTGTGTGTGCATGTGTGTGTGCATCTCTTATGCTTTCTTCAGAATCATATGAATCACTTCATGAGTGATTACCAGCCTTCAGGCATTGTGTCATGCCTTGGAGGTTCAAAGATAACCACTGTCCTGACTTCTAATACCATAGTCGAGTTTAATAAGTTTTTTTAACTTTATAGAAAATGGAATCATATAGTATATGTTATTTTGGTTTGGACTTCTTTAAATTCTTAATATTTCTTAGATTCATCCATATTGATATGTGTGTCTATAGTTTGTTCATTTTACTTAAGGAGCAGTTAGTTACCTCCTATATAAACATCTTACAAGTTATTTATCCATTCTAATGATTATGGACCTTTGTGTTGTTTCTGGGGTTTTTTTTTTTGTTGTTGTTGTTGTTGTTGTTATTCTAAAGACATTTTCCTTGTGCATTTCTCTTGATGCACATATGTATAGATTTTGGAGTACATGCTTAGGGATATTACTGGGTTATACAATAGAATATGCATCTTCAAATTTAGTAGGTTAAGCTAAATATATATTTTTTTCAAAACATTTGTGCCTGTTTACACTTTGACCAGCAGTGTTCCTGTTGTTCCATGACTTTGGCAATATTTGGTGTTCTTTTTTTAAAATCCATTTAAGTAGATAAGAAGTTGTATCTCATCATGATTTACATTAGTATTCTACTGATTACTAATGAGGGTGTTCACTTTTGCCTTCATGTGTTTATTGGTCATTTATACATACTCTTTTTTCCCCTCATTTTTAATTTTTAAGTAATTGCAGATTCACAGGAAGTGGCAGAAATGAAAAGTACAAGGAGGTCCTATATATCCTTCACCTAGTTTCCCTAGTGGGTAACATCTTGTATAACTGTAGTAAAATATCAAAGCCAGGAAATGGACATTGGTAACCTTCACAGAGCTTATTAATATTCCACCAGTTTTATATACACTCATTTGTGTGTCTCTTGTTCTATGAAATTTTACCACATGTATAGATTCATACAACCATGTCCACAATCAAGATACAACATGGTCCTATTACTCCAGGGCTTCCTTGTACTCTCTCCTTTTTAGACACACTTACCCTCTCTCCCTACTCCTAACCCATAGCAACCACTAATCTGTTCTTAATCTTTTCTCCTCCTCCTCCTTCTTCTCCTTCTTCTCCTTATTATTATTATTAGTGCTTATTCAAATATTCTTGTCTGTTGTCTTTCTTTTCATGATTTTTGGATGGTTTTCTATATCGTGATATGTATAACAAGTGTACTTTTCCACTCATGGGTTGCATTTATATTTTCTTATTGATATAATCTGATGAATAAAAGGTTTTGATTTTAATATAATGATAGTTATTATTTTTTTCTTTATGATCAGTGCTGTTGGGCTTCTGCTTAAGAAATATTTCTCTCCACCCAGAACACAAAAATATTCTTCTAGAAACTTTATTGTTTTGTCACATGTAGATCTACAATCCACCTGGAATTGAGTAATGGTGTGAAGTAGAGGTCAAGTTTCATTTTCTTCCACATGGATGTCCAATTGACCAGAACTCTTTACTGAAAAGACATTTTCCCCTTAGGTTTATGACTATGCCTCTGTAGTAAATCAAGTGACCATATGTGTTAATAGTCTCTTTGGGTTTTCTGTGTTATATTGGTTAACTTATCTATCTTTATGCTAGTTATATACCATTTTACTTATTGTTGGTTTATAACATGTCTTGACATCTGGTAGAGCATATAATTACAACTTGTCCCTCATGAGTGTCTTGGATTTTCCTGTTTTTTTTTTTTCATTTTCGTATACTATATTTTAGAAGCATCTTCTGAAGTTATAAAACGAAAAATAAGGATTTTGATTGATAATGCCTTGAATTCATAAATCTTTTAGGCATGCATTGGCATTTCTACAGTATTCAATTTTATAGTCCATGAATATGGCATAGCCCTCTATTAATTATATATTGATTTCTGATGATATTTTATTGCTTTATCATAAAGTTAATACCATTTTTTATGAGATTTATTCCAAGATATTTCATATTTGTACTGGCACTGCAAATAGGCAGAAAACTGTACTTGAACAATTCAAAATGTTAAAAAATAAATAAAAGTTTCATTATTTGAATATTTGTTTCTATTGTAAAGAAATGTAAAGGAATGTTATATATTGAATTTGTATGTAAGTTATGATTAAACTTGTTCAGCTCACTTATTAATTTTAGTAATTTATCTCTTGACTTTTTAATATTTTATATAATATTTACTATTAATAAAAGTTATATTTCTTTCTTTCCTATGTTTATACTGGTAGCCTGTGTCCCTTCCCCTCCCTACCTCCCCCATACACACACACACACACACACACACACACACACACACACACATTTCTTTTGTCTCACTGCATGATTAGGACAATACAGTAATGAATAGAAATCATATTAGTAGGTGTTCATGTGCTATTCCTAAGCAAACACAAAGTCTAACCTTTAACCACAACCATGATGTTTGCTGTAGATATTTTGTGAATATACTTTATCACATAAAGTATAAGCTTTGTTAGATAAACTTGACTTTCCAAGAGCTTTTTGGCATGAATCAATGTTTAATTTTCAAATTATATTTCTGCATGAATAGAGATAAGCACTTTTTTTTTTATTTGCTAATGTGGTGAATTACACTGATTGATTTTCAAATCTTGAACCAATCTTTTATTCCTGGCACAATACCAACTTGGAATTGACGGGAGATTTATTTTATACATTCCTGGATTCAGTTTGCTAATATTCCTTTAGGATTTTTTCTTCCCTGTCCATCAGTGAGATTGGCGTGTAATTCTCTAGATTTTAGCAAGCCTTTGTGTTTGCTTTACAAACTCTTTTATCTTCTCCTGTTCAGAGTGCTTCTCTTGTGAGATTTGCTCCCTTAGATGATGATATCATCATCTGTATGCTCATGCACCCTTAAACCACACACTCACACTCATATTCGATCAATTTTGGTTCTGTCAGCTTCCACATTTTAAATACCGTATCTCTCAGTTTCATCACTCTTTCCAGTCCATCAGCTCCTTTGCCAGTTCAGGATGCTGTCGTCTCTTTCTTTTATTGTTCTCATGATTCCTGTAAGGTATCTCTGTTACAGTTTTGCTCCCTCCCATCTATTTTCCATATTGCAGTTCAATGAACTTTCAAAATGACAAATTCTATGATTCTACATTCCTTCTTAACATTTTTCAGTGACTCTTCATTGATTTCCTTTGAGCTCCTCAAATTAGCCACGTTTGCTCTCATGTCCAAGCCTTTGCCTATGCCATTTGCTTTGTGTGATGTTCATGTTTGTACACAAACTGAAATGACCTATGGGCAGAGCTGAGGAGCTGAAGAAGGAGTGGGGGTTGGCAGAAGGGTGGCTAGACAAGAAACAGTGTATGGAAACATACAAAAGGCAGTTCTGGAGCTGCTTTTCAAACACTATCTGTCTGCTCTATCATTTATTGTATGCTTGGCCTAGCATATTTTGTGGGGCCTGGAGGGTAGCTCTTATAGGAAGCATGCATGCCTAACCTTTTTCCTCACTCGGGGTAGCACAGTTTATGGATTATGTGCAACAGAAACCTCTTTTGAAGAAAGTAACCAGGGTGATGAAGAACTGTGGAAGGTGCTAGGGATCATGGACCTGGCTAAAGTGATACTTGAGGATGTCTCAGATAAAAAGGGAAACTAAAAATGTTTTGTGTACACTGATGGCTACAAAACCAAAACAATTACAAATGTATAGAAATATTTAGGAATACAGGCCTCATCTCCAAATTAGGAAGAATTATCTAAAGACTAGAGCTGCCTGAGTATGGAAGGAGCTTCCTCCTGAGGCACTGTGTTTCCTCTTGTTTAATGCATTCAAGCTGTGGTTGGTCAGTTATGCAAAGGGAATTTAAATAATATTAAGGCCATGGTCCCAAGACTCAGGCCACAGTCCAAACTAATTAAGTATAGTGTCTGGGGATTGGACACAAAAATCAGTAATTTTTGAAGCTTCCCAGGTGATTCCAAAGTGCAGACAAGCTTGAGAAGCCCTACATTAGAGAGAGGTTTCAACTCTTTAATGGTTTTCCTGCATCAGAATGTTTAGAAGAGATGAAAAAATACTGAGCCAGGTGCTACCCCTGTAACTTCTAAATTAGCACAGTTAAGTGGACCCCTGGAATGATTAAGATTATTTTATGATTAAGATTATTTTCAGGTGATTCAGTTTTTTATCTGGGTTTGGAAACCGTTGGATTATATGACCCTTTTAAGGATCATATATACATTTATACATTTATAACTCAGTACATCTCAGCCTTGTACATTTATAACTCAGTCAGGTACTTAACAAACTCATTTATGGTATCCTGTGGACAAAATATGCAATATAAATTGAGACAAGTATGTCTAGGACAAAAAAAGGGTTTTGGATTCTAATTCTATTTCTATTATTTACTAGACTTACAAAAATTCCCTTAGCCTCTCAATAGCCTCATTTTAAAAGATTAATGATAACCATTTTATAGATTGATTCTGAAGTTTGAATGAAGTTACTTATGAAAAGTGTCACTCTGTCATGGTGTCTGTTGGGCTCTTTTCTAAATTTTGTAGTTCTGTGAATGCTGTACTTAGTGAGTGGAATTGTGGAACATTTACACACATTTAATGAATATGCACATATTCCCTATTGATTTTTAGTCTCAATGTGCTGTGTGAATCTATGGTCTTAATATTCTCTTTTGGTTCAGGTATTATAACTGGTATTTTAAAGGCAACAGGGGTGAAGAATAATGCCTTTCATTTGGTATTACTTGTAAGCGGAATATAACCCATATCTAATTTTTTCTACATTAAACATTTCAGATAAGAATTTTTAATTAACTATTATATATGGTGAGAGAGAATTAACTGTGTGCTTTATTTTATTTTATTACAGGTTTACAGAAACTGTGTAATTATTTATGAAAATGGAAAACTGTGAAGAAAGAAAAAGATAGCAGTTGGAGTTAAAATTCCTGGAGGAATATTTTGCTTTTGAGACATCAGCATTTAAAAACGATATGTTGATTTGGAAAGTCCTGGGAGTAAATTGCAAAATTCATTTTTTCCATTCAATCAATGGATTTTTAATCATTCCTTGGAGTCAATGAAGTTCAGAGACGGTGTGTGATGGGAAATGTGACATGCGGTCTCTTCCTATGATTGCATCTTGGATTAGTTTGCTGCTTTTTTGAAGAGATTCCATTTTGAAGGGTACGAACCTAATGTGATGGATTTATCTTCAGAGATGAACAGACATGGGAAGAATCCAGTGAGTCACAAGCTAGAAGATCAGAAGAAGGTAAGATAACTACATTTCCGTTTACGTGGTCCTTTTTGTTTATGTTTAAAGAGAATTTTGTAAATTGAAAATGAATGTGTTTTAAGAGATAAAATAACATACCATTTCTTGGAAATAAATCCTGCCACATAGCCAAGTGTTGTTATGGGCCTGGATTTCATTACCGTTTGGTGGTTTTGTTTCTAAAGTCTTCCGAACTCATCCATCCAGTAGATTGACGAAGGTTCCACTTTGTCCTCTTACTTTTGGCCTCATTTTGATGACCTGCTGGCCTTACCTCATGTGAACAGTTTTCTGAGATCCAGGGTGAAGGTTGAGTCGTGGGGCACCCCTGGAGTAAAGGAGCAAGTTAGAGCTCTCCCAGAAGAAAACACCTGCCTCCCTGCCATCAGATACCATGGCTGGCATTTGAAATTCTCCAGTTTTATCCTTGGGGAACTTCAACCTAAGCCTTCTCATGTTTCCAGCAAGCCTGGAAAGAGAGTCATGAGGCATGTGAGTTTTGGTCTCACTCTTCAGGTGTGGTGTTGGAGAAACTAATGGAAAAATAACAAGAAAGGACTGTGCTAATATATTTTTTAAAAATGGGGTTTGGAGAGCTTCTGAGTGAGAAGCTGGGAATTGAATACTAAGGGTTGCACTTAAGTCTCATTTTTCTACCTTTTTAGAAACTCTTACCTGCTAAACTGTTGTACTATAGTGAGAACCATCTAGAGAGCACTTATCAGAAGGGTCAGAGATGGTGCCCAGGAGAGAAAGCCCACTCATAATGAAGTATATTATATTTTGTGGTGCTTCATTGACTCCATTAGTATAGGAGCAGTGTGTGGGGCCCTGGTGGCTAAGGCATCAAAGCAAGTAATAATGAGATAATAGAAAGGGGATTTTTGTTAGACCTGGGTCTAAGGGGCATGATTAAGGCTTGTTTTCACATCTGTGTTAGAAAAAAATTTAGTAGTCATTTTGTACTCCCAGAAGACAACTAGCTTTTCACAGTTTTGGAGGTGGGAAGTTTAGAAGAGACCATACAGAGTCAATAGCTTATTAATTTGTTCTGATATTATGACCAATGCCTCTAGAATAGGGGCTATGGTGGTTCCTTTGTATCAGTTCAGGCAGAAATGGATGGATTATTTATGTCCAGTTTGGTTCATTCATTGGGTTTACCTGTAGTATAAGTAAATCTCAGAAAATACTAAGTACTATAAATACAAGATGCCCAGAACCAATTTTTACATCAATGCAGGTATAAATTTCTATACAAATAAGGGTATTACCAAGTAATACTGTTGGTGTTTTAAATGGTCAGCATTTTTTCCCTACTGGCACTAATGGTGTGAATCCAAGAGAGATGGCAAGAAAAATTTCCATCTAAAGCTCTATAATTTCTTAACTACTGAGGAGCCATTTAATTCCTTTTCTCTATCTACATTCTTAAAATGTCCTTAAATCTGACAGTAATTTGCCTATTGTACTGTGTGAAAGAATAAGGAAGTGGGTAGTAGGTAAGCAATTAATATTCTGAGTTCTAATTTTTGATAAAAGTTCTGGTTTTCTGGCAGGAAAGAAAGGACCTCTGCAGGTGCTATTTCTTTATTTCCTGAATAAGAGGTATTTTGTGCAAACACAGAGATTACAAGCTGAAGAATGAGATGAATTGTAACAGACATTCTGAAAATTCCTTGTATGGAACTTTAAACAATGGTCTATGATGATGCTGAGTTTCCCAGGCCTATTCACAAAGGACTGTTCAGCTAATAGAAATAGTAATAGAGTTTAGACAAACTACAGAAAGCCATGATTCCATGAAAAGGTTAAAATACCAGCTTGGTATTATGGGATAAGAGGATCCCATTTCACTGTAGCCTCACCTCCCAGTCTGTAGGGAGATGGAGAGGAGGGGAAGCAGTGAACATTAAATAGTGAGCAGTAGCAAGAAGGAAGACTGGGTTGTAATGAATTCCTAGCCACCCAACTGGTATAGGCATTCACTCTGAATAAGCTTGAAACTCAAGATACTGATCGATCAGTCGATCAGTACTTAAGATGCAAATTTGTTAAGTGTCAGCAAAAGTATCTAGTCCCAGTGACAGATTTGTGAGTTTGTCCTACAGAGGAAAATGAAATATAGTGTCATCAATCTTTGCAGACTAAGTTCTGGGCACAGCCCTGTCACCACAAAATTGAGGTTACAAGACCATTCATGTAATTACTTCAAGCGTTTGTAGTCTTTCATGATGATTTAATTTAACAAGCACAGTGTTGCTCATCAGTGAAATAAAATGCATTTATTCTTAGTCATGACTTAATCCAGAGGTGAAGCATCTTTCTGGTATTTCTGAAAAAAAAATGTGTTCTTTTCACAGTGTTTGACATATGGCAGATATTCAAGAAAAGATTCATAGAGCTGGCTTCAGCATAGCTTCCAATTTTGAATGCTGCACAACTGCTTTCTTGTTCAGTCTACAGTAGCTCACTGGCTTTGTTCTCAATTTAAAATAGTGTGGTTTTGTACCTATGCTCTGCTTCTGAGTAGAAACCATTAGGACACTGAGCATGTGTTTGTGAGGATGTGTTCTGCTGCAGTGAGTAGGTGAATGCCAAGCAAGAGGTCAGTTATGGAGTGCTTACTGCATACCATATACCACATGCTTACACTTTGTGATTCATTAAGAAAATACCTCCTACAGAGATAAAAGCTGCTTTTACCTCCTTAAGAGATTTGGTCCTGTAAAAATGATGATAAATTCTTCAAGAATATTTATACTAAATAAAAGAATACGTGTGTGTGTGTGTGTGTGTGTGTGTGTGTGTGTGCATTTCAACATTAAAGCATTTAAATATATGTGTGACATTTGGGGCTTTTTAAAAATAATGCCTGCTCACCTTACAATATGTGAACAGAAGAGGACCTAACTTGAAAGTTAAAGGTATTATACTCACACGTCCTGCCTGGAGTACTCTTTATTATGGATAAGCCAGAGGTGTGGATGTTCTAGAAGTTGAAAATACTTCTAAGAATCTCAAATCAACCTGGGCTAGTGTAGGGCTAGGTGGAACCTAGCTGCACTTTTGAGTCCTGTGTTGTTGGTTTTTTCAGTAGAATTTCATTACTTTTACCCCTTATGGGTTATTCCTGTTCTTTCTTGTTCTTGGCATTCAGCTCTTAGATTTGTCATGGCATCTCAAGGCTCCTGAATGTGTTTTACTTTTGAAAACTTGACCTTTTTATCCTTGTTTTCTCATTGATGCCAGTGAGGTTGGTTTATTGCTTTCCACTAATTTTATTGCTTTGTGGGATTATTTCTTCAAAAGCCCCCAGAAGAGTGAAAGCTCAATTGGCACAAATGCCACTGCTATATAATTAATTGTGACCTTGAACTGAAAAGCAGAGCTCAGTAGACTTTACTGTCAGTCTAATTGCAAGCACTTTGCAGTTCAGATAGCCTTGGGGCACAGCTTTATTGCTTCACGAATATTTTGTGTGTTAAACCAAAGCATTTGTCATAGTCAACAATTTATTAGGTACTACGAAGAGGGCAGCAGGGTACACATCTTGAAATTATGGCCATGGTAATGCAATAAATATTTGGTGACCTGTTGGGATTATTTTGTTTCTGTGTTCTCTACCCAGAAAGGGATGAACAGTATTGCACATATGTAGAGATATTTACTTTTATGAAAATGTCTAAAATTGATGCCATCTCTGTTTTTTACTTCCCAAAGTCATGTCTTTTATGATGTTAAGCAGTCAGTATTATTTTCACATTGCCATGCAAACTGCTCAAGATAAATTCCAGAATACCATGTCTGTCTGTCTAAGAGATAGCAATTATTTCAGAAATGACACACTCTGAGTATAGTGAAGAAGAGCAGAAAATCAGGCAAAATAAGAGAAATGATTATATTAATTATCAGAGGAGAGGATATTGATGTGGAAAATGCCTATTATATGGTAGACTTAAAATCCAGCTTAAGTGGAAGGTTAGATAAAGCATCATCTGCAAGTGGCAATGAGTTCTTTATCAATATTTATGCACACAGAGTAGTTTTCTTCTTATATTTTTCAATGGACATCAAATGGAAGTGTGGTGCAGGAACATATTTACATACACCTGTGTTAGGCTACTCTAGTAATTTTTTTAATGAGTAAAAATAATTGATCACTTTAAAGGTGGTGCAATTCTTATTTTACAGTTTTAAAATGTACTGATTCTTTTAAGTAAGTTAGACCATTTGTTGCATTTTCTTGCAGTGTTGGAAAATAGTATCAGAGTCAAGCAGTGTATTGGGACTATTCTCACGGGTGTTAAGGACAACTTGAAATTGTTTCTGTTAGAAACTGACTACAGATCTGTCTTAAGAGCAAATATGAAGATAAATCATGAAAAAAGAGAAGGCTTAGTTTAGATTCAGCCCTTTCACTTTTTGATCTTCCTGAAGGATGGACTCATTAAATGGTACTTTATTTTTATACATCTCTTTTCTGTGTGCGTGTGAGATCAGTTAAAAGGACCATGAGGGAGAATGACGTTTCTGAAGCAAAACCACATCATTTATTAATCATCTGATCCTGAAACAAGACAGCTAACATGAATGGATTGCCTGGGGTTTTCAACAAAAGTGGTTGGTCATCCAGAACTGAGTATCCAAACTTTTAGTGTTTGAAATACAGTGAGCAGCCATTCTGCAATGTTATTACACAAGTCTGAAATATATGTCCAAACACAAAAGTGAATGTCCAGTTCACAAAAAACTAGTACTGGAACTGTGATCTTCTGTGATGCCAGTTAAGACTGCCCTACTTTCTCCCTCTGTTCTGTCGTTTTTTTATAAAGGGATTCTGCGAATAGCCATCTCCCAGCCGCTTTGCCTGGAGTTCTTTAAGGATACATTGGACTAGGTGAGCTCCTTTTGTGGCTCAGAAGTGATTCTAGAAAATTCTCTCTCAGATCTGAATTTGGATAGGCAGGTCTCAAACAAACTTCAGAAAGTTTGTA